TTCAGAAGCTCTTGTTTATTAGGACGTCTATCACAAACGATAAAGGTATCATCTACGTATCGACAATAATAGTCAAACCCTTTAATCGTGTCTTTGAGTGGACCATTTTCAAGCTTTGCGAGGAAAATATCCGCTAGCATAGGGCCCAGAGGTTATCCCATGGCTACACCATCAACTTGTCTATAAAAACCATTATTTAACATAAACTGAACATTCATAGTGCATTCCAATAATAATTCTTTGCCTTTTTCGGATGGGATTCCTACATCCATCTTTCTTTCTATCAGCTGGTCACACATGCAGTTGACTGTTTCAAGCAGTGGGACGTTAGTGAATAATGATGCGGCATCCAGCGACACCATTTTCTTTCCCTTTACATTCAGGCTTTTGGTAGTTTCCACAAAGCTAAATACGTCTTTTACACTGAATTTCACTAATTCGCAATGTAACGGTTCTAGTGCCTTTACCAACCACTTTGCTATAGAATGATAAGGAGATTGACGCATATCTAAGATGGGACGTAGTGGTACTCCCGGCTTGTGAACTTTCGGTAAACCATAAAGTCTAAATAGGACGAAATGCGCATCCTGGACTCCACTGCTAGTCACCATCCACCAATTATATTTACCACATTATTATTATTATGCATACATACATAGGTCAAACTAGTAGAACAGGGGCAGTCAGACTAGCCAAACATAGAAACCTAGCAAAATCTAGATTGGTTGACCCGAATAAGATAAGCAATCTAGAGAATAGTTCAGCTGGCTATAGCTCTACATGCAGTTACATACAACGATACAGTAGGATGGGATAGGACGACAGTTTTAAAATCTAATGTCTCAGGGTGGAGGGAGAGATTGATAACGAAAGCTTTGTTTATCGAGTCAAATGAGACAGAATACATGTAATAGGAATGATTCAACACCTGTGCACTCAGATATCTGGAATATTCTACTTCCCTCCAACGACAAATAGGAGAGGACAAAGAAAACTATAAAACTCAAGTTTCAAAGTCGTGTGATTATAATTGATACGATTATAAACAATCAATATTTTTCGAATCGTCGTCCGGTGTCGGTGTGTGATACATCTAATAGGCAAACTTTTAAGTAAAGTGTGAAGTTGAATTAATTAATTTGAACATTTACAATAGGTGGCGCAAATGGTCTAGTGGACAACGCTGTGGTGTTTATATATACGCCCACTGGTTTTCGAGTCTCGTTGGGAACATCATCACTCACAGTGCAATGGAATTTTTCATCAAGGTGACGAGTCCCAAATAGAACGAAATACGCATCCTGATTTCCACTGCTAGTCACATCCACTAATTACATTTACCACATTTTTATTGTTTGATCCACAAACTCACCGACATGGGTTGAATTTTTTATGTTGAAATCTATGTAAAATAGAGTTAAGCCTCAAGAATATCTAACTGAAAACAATACTCTACGCTTATATTTCTTGTTCTTATATAAATATTGTTCGAAACGTTATCCAGTTATCAAGATTCTATCGCCTTGTGTTATACAAAGAAACTTATCGAATATGGCACTGATTATCCCAGTTTATAAGAAGGGTGTCACCTCTTCTTGTGATAATGATAGCATTATTTGGTTGATTGACACATTACCCAAAGTTTTACGTACAGTAATGATTCGGTGGTTGAGAAGAATAAACTTTCTGGAGAAGACGCAAACTTGAGGCCTAGATAAAGGTGCCCTGATCATATCTTCACTCTTAAACAGGTTCTAGAGCATAGGTATATTTATCGGTGTCCAACACTTATTTCTTCATCTGAAGGAGGAGAATGTATAGCAAAGCGATCTACTTGAACGTACGCAGCCGTGTAATGGCTTATGGAAGGTTGTGATCGTAAATGACACTAAATGGTGGTGTCTGTTATAAACGCATGATGTCTTTTTGGTTTTTGTTTAATGTCATCATAGGTGTACTATTGGTTGTAACAGCAATAGACTTCGACGGCTTAGAGATTCACTTTTTACTAGCCAAATGTCTTATTGATTTAGAGTATGCACATGATATTGTCCATCTAGGTGAAAACACTGACAAAATGCATCACTACCTGGATAACTTGAGCAGAAATCTTGGTGTATTTGACATGAGATTAACTCCTGACATGAGGAAAATAAAAGACAATTCAGTGGAGAAAATTTTCTTTATCGATGAAATCAAATGTCAAATGCTAGATGAGTGGTCTTCAACAACTCCTAGTTTAAGAATAGAGAATGAATCGGTTGTTCGTGTTGACCGCTTCACCTATTTGGTAAGTCGCACCATCTCTAAGGAACTAATAGCCGACGATATAAAATGGCTCATATGGCATTTGCCAAATGGTCATCTCAGGTGTAAACTTGAAACTCGGTTGTCGATCAAAGGATATGTATACCACACAGCAGTTCACTGTTTATATGTGAGTCTGTCTGTTTTCGACATAGAACTTTGCACAAATGTGCGACAGTTCAAGTCGCCACACTCCGTGTAGCACGCGAAGCAAGAGAAGAAAGTATAAGAATAGCATAATAGAAACAGTGAGCAGAGGTGTGAGACAAAGGAGTAATAAAGAAAAACAAAACAATTTCATTGAAGATCATAAGTCACAGGGAGTGGATGCATCTGCGCCACTGAGAACGATTTTGAGCCATGTCACCAATTGTTTCCAACCATAGATTTTTACCGTCCCGAGGACCCCAGCCTGGAAGTCTACACCTTTCTACATGGCTTAGACCAACTGTTGTGGATTTCATTGACTGATGCCAAGTTTTTGTTTGACCGCCGCTAGCTTTTTTCCAGCCTGACCCTATATCCGCTAACATTGCTCGTCGAGGGAGGCGATGGCTTGGCATACGTAACACATGTCCTAACCATCTCAGTCTTTGTAGCTTCACGACTTCGTCGATTGATTTCCCCTGTTTACCTAGAACTCTACGCCTAACTTCAATGTTGCTCACCTTATTATGCCACTTTACACGGGAAATAGAGCGCAGGCACCTATGATCAAACACAGCTAGTCTTTTCATGTCTTCCACTCTCAGTGGCCAGGTCTCACAACCATAAAGGAGGACGGAGCGGACTGATGGGCAGTACACCCGCCCTTTGGTCGATAGTCGAACATCTCGTCTACGCCAGAGTCGGCGTAAACTGGCATATGCGAAACGAGCCCCCTGTATTCGTGCTGAGATTTCATCAGAGATCAACCCGTTGGCACTGGCTGATGGTACTTCCCAAGTACGTGAAGCGGTCAACGTGCTCCACCACTTCACTTCCTATTTTTAAACTAGGCGTCGATGTAGTCCAGTCCTGTAACATCATCTTGCATTTGGTGGGAGCGAATCGCATGCCAAACATTCGTAGATTGCGGCTCAAGGTGTTTAGAAGACTCTGCATTTTGTCAGCGTCTTCGCCTAGAAGGACTATATCGTCTGCATATTCTAAGTCAACGAGATTATTCCCTGGTGGTAGCAAGTCAATCCCTGAGTCGCTGAAGTCACTTAGGGTTAAGTCCATTAACACATCTATGATGAAGTTGAATGGAAAAGGGGATAATGGGCATCCTTGACGGACACCACTGGTCGTCATCAGTTCAGATGACAGCTCACCGTAAGCCCTCACCTGCTTTAATCAGTGCAATATATTTTCTCGGAATTCCCTTTACAGCCAAGCATCTCCAGAGAACTTCTCGATCGACAGAGTCGAATGCTGCCTTTAAGTCAAGAAATATAATGACTGTTGGACGCCGGTAGGAATGCCTATGTTCTAGAATCTGTCGGAGGGTGAAGATATGATCAATACACCCTCTTCCTGGTCTAAAGCCTGCCTGGCTCTCTCGTGTTTGTGCCTCCCGAGCACCACTTAGTCTAAGCATGATTATTGAGCCTAAGACTTTAGATACTATATTAGTCAAGCTAATCCCTCTGTGATTATCACAGGAAGACTTGTCTCCCTTTTTGTATATGGGGATAATCAGTGACTTACACCAACCCGATTATATGTGAGACATGGTCGTTGATAGTTGGAGGCTTAAAGTGGCTAGTTGTCTTTGATGATAGATGTTTTTGTTTTATCTCCCGTCTTAAGTGGTTTAATATGATGAGTAATTTTGAGGTTATGTGTGTAAAGGGTTAGGTAAGGGGGGCGGAAAGCAATCGGTTAGGTTGTGCAGCTACATCGATTGAGATGGCTGCAACATATGTTACGCATGCCAGACTCCGACCAAACTTGTCGAGAAATGTTAGCTGACATAGGATTAGTTTGGCAAGAATTTAGGGTTGGTCGGATTAAGAACTGATATCAATCTATGAAGTATTTGTTGGTTTACATGGGCCATGCAGGGAGGTCTGGAATGTCTAGCTGGGGTGTCACTGAGAACCTAAGAGTCGGTAGCTTAACACTGTTGGTTCTATTGCTCAAAACGGTCTTCCTTAGAGCAGATACATTTGCTCTTTTTAATCTCCCATATCCATTAGATCACAGTGTTACAATTTTTTCCTCCCTACATATCTCCTCATTATAGTTGTTTTGAACTTCTCTTTTCTCTATCTTTATATTGTGACAATTTAAACTCCTGCACTTCTGTGCAAGGTTCTACATTGAAAACTCGGTCAGTCAGCCAGAATTGTCTTGCACTGCTGTTTGAGTTCTCACTACGTGTGAATGCACAAACTAATATTCACTTGTATTACTCTACAGGAGATTTCGTGGAAAACATAATTTCATCATCCTTGCAAAAAACTGATTTGTGAACTTATAATTTTTAACTGACAACTTCATTATTTGTTTTCATTACCTCAGTGGAGTGAAATCTTAATCATGATAGATTAATGATAAAGCATATTTATTAAATGCATAGTTTATTTTCAATAGAACTTGATAATCTATGACACAAGCCATTATATTACTACTTGATTTTTAATTAAATACTTTGTTACTAACCAATTTTTGAAATTAATTCTATAGATTAATTGATCATTATGCAGGTGAATTTTACCATATCCTATCGTTTGGATTCTTCCATCTTATCACCATATGGACTATATCAACCTTCTGTGAAATCTGATGGACCAAATACAAAATATCCTCTTCCTGAACGAGATTTCGCTAAAGGAAAGTTCAAACTTGTGGCATGGTTTGTTAGCAACTGCCTTCCTAACAGTCCCAGGACTATATATGCTCATGAACTATCACGACATATTGAAGTGAGTATGCGTAATAGTAATTAACTTTACTTATGAAAGAGAATGAAGACAAAATAAATTTAAGACTTTTTCCATAAACACACACACCTAGTTTTCCCAATCATCACCCAACATTCTTTTTCTGTCTCAGTTGGTACTATTCTGTCGGCAGACGGAAGGTTGTGATACCCGTCAGCATCTATCTTCATGGTCTCTACTTACGTCACAGTCAATTGCAGTTTGGATAAAGTAAAGGGTCGGTTCTGTCAAAAGTCATCAAATCCTGTCTAATTTTCTGTTGAAAGCGAACCGCCCAGAAATGGTCATCTCGGCCGGTAATTTCCTCTTAAAGTAGGGGATCTGTGCCAGTCAGAAAATTATATTGTTGGCATCTACGGAATTCCATACCGACAAGGTGACAAGAATGACAGCTGTTATATTTTTTTTTAATGAATGAAAAATGCCCTAGTATATAGCTTTATTTGGTTTAGATTTATTTATCAAGGGTATCAAGTATATGGAGTTTTTGAAAAGCCACCTGTCTACTTAGCCTGTTATATGGCATGTGAATCTTGACACAGAATCTTTATTAGTATAGCGTGGTTACACGACATCCAACTCACATCCACACATTAGTATTAGGATCTCTGGTTGTTGTAATTCACAAGAGACACTTAATCAAAACATGACAAGTTTCTCACTTTGGTAAAAGCATCTTGTGTAATAGAGAAGATTTTTAGCTCATTGATATGAGTATAAAACTTGGGTACTGTGGTAGAGTATAACTCCATTAAAGATAAGATTTTATTTTGATAAATCACATCGTGTTGTACAGTAATACTAACTGATGACGTTTCGAGCACAAACTATTGCTCATAATCATATCAAGTTGATATGATTATGAGCAATAGTTTGTACTGTACAACATTGTGTGATTTATCAAAATAAAAATCTTATCCATAATGGATTTTTAGCTCAGGTGGATGATTTGGACTACATCTTGAAAGCTATTTTTATTAACCTACAACTCAAGGATGATCAAATTATGCAGTTGACAGCTCAAAGACTTCAGTCAGCCATCAAGCTCACATTCTACGCCGCATCTCTTTTCCCCACATCTCGAACATTTTCGATTCCTGTACCTACGATTAAAGGACGAAATTCTGTAGACTCTACTTCAAACTGCATATACAAGTTCACCTCCAGTTACGGTGACACCTATATAGGTAGAAACAAGAGAATGCTCCAATTTCGTCGAAAAAAATATGCTCCAAAATGGTTACTAAATCATACAGAAAATCCCAATGCAATTAATCTGAATAGAAATCCATCATCATCCATTGCAAAGCACTTATTAATGTCAGGTCACAAAATCAATATTAATGACTGCTTCACAATCAATTATTTCACAAAACTCTAATTCAAGGTTGGTTATTGAAGGTGATGGAAGCACTTTGGACTAATCACATACATCCTTAACTATGTGCACAAAGAATAGACTTGTAGAGACTTCAATCTTCGCCTACCCTGGACTGCATGACCTATCTTAATATGATTGGTCATTAGTATGTACTTTTGTTTTTATTTAACTGAGTAATTTTCATGAACTTTATTTTATTATTGTTAACCATGTTAGTTGTAAAGCGGTTGTAAAGAAACTACGAAATGAAGATGTCATCTCGCGAAATTTACCTTCTAAATGCCTTATTCAAATTTATCAAAGGGACTAATTGTTTTAATATTAATATAGACCGAATTTGCCAACTAATAAAAAGTAAACCACATGAAAAGAAAGTTCACACTCCAAGTCAATAAAAAAATGATCAATACAGATGTAAATCGACTGCCAGTCGCGACGATGGTTACCAGGAGACGCAATTCTATTATTCATGGAGAATTTAAATCAGTTCATTTTATGCCAAAACGTGTGCTTAAGATGTTGTCCAGAAGGACGAAGAAAGCTGCCCAATTAAACCAACCAGCTCAGAGAACACAACTAATTCCTGAAGCATCTTGTGTTTCAAAAGCTAATTGACATACGACAACTGTCTCATTTTCCAACAGTTGTAAAGACAAATATGTTGGATCTACTACTCCAACTGTCATTAAATTCGTCATTCTAACAGTATACTTCAGCAAAATGTAGGCTTATCAGACGAATTCGTTGATGGAATTAATGTGACCGGTAGGCATATGATTTCATTGAGTATTTTTTCCTTAGTTACAAATGTACCACTAGTGGAAAGTCTGTTATCTATGTGAATACATTGACCTAAAAAGCATGCACACGGGATTGCCAACAAACTGTCTTAAGCAGCTATTATTCTGATGTACGTTTAAAATGGGATGTAAATTTGACGACGTCATCTATAATCAAGGAGACTCAGACAGCATGGAGTCTCCCTTAGGACCTCTCCTAACAGATGTCTTCATAACGAGATTAGATAATAGTTCGTTGAAAAAAACTATCTTAAGTGTGCATGTGTATAGAAGATATATGGACGACATCATTAATATTCGTGATGATAACTGTCCAACTTCTGAACTTCTCAGAAAATCCAATGGTTCTCATCCACCCATGCTTTTCGCTGTCGAATAGGAGTCGAATGCCGCACTCTACTTTTTAGGTGTTACGCTAGACACAAGAGAGGATGGCACCTGAAAAGGTTTATTCGCCGAAAGCCAACATTTACAAGGCAGTAAACTAATCTCAACAGTTGGGTACCTTTAGACAGAAAGAAAAATCGTATCCGTTCTCTATGCTTTAGAATTCGGAAAATCTGCTCTATAGATACAGTTGAAATAGAACTGAAAATCTCCTCACAAATCTCTTAAGTAATCGATATCCTAGAAGGTTCACTAATAATAATTTGCTTTATTCTAAAACACTACTCATGATACAGTGAAGAATTCTCCGCATTTGGTACAATATTGCCTCTAGTTTACTTGACAACAGTAAAAATAAAAAATAATGTTACAGGATTGATAATAGCGGCTGTTTTGGTATTAGCAGTGACATTAAAGTCAAAAATGTACAAAAAGTGTAAAATGATAGTAATAATTTCGATAGTTAAAATTATAAATTAAGTGAAATAGTGTCACCATAGATTACAAATAGAAGAGAATAAAAGAGTTGATTGTCTTGCTAATAACAGTCGTTGGTTTCACGCTTAACACTATCTTTATCACATGAAACGCACGCCGAATATAGTGCTGTTAAGTTTCTGTCCTTGGTTTTACGAGCATACAATCTTTTATAGTGACTTCTAGTCCTGCCTGTTAAGATGCAAAGGGAGAGTTGAGAATAAAGTGAGTGTTGAGAGTTAGACAACACGGATTTGGACCATTTCTCACATGAGTTCAGTTGTCTATCGACTACAGTAGTAATGAGCTGACTATTAGGCATACCACTCACCCTACTGACAATCTTTAATATCCTTTACAATATGTCATAGCCTATTTTGAGCAATCCAAGATAGACTAAGGGGAAGCAGTAAAGTACAATAATTAAGATGCAATAGTCAACAAACTGTAAAAGTAGAGGTTAAGTGATTCCAGATTGTATTAACTTCTTAATGTATTAGACAGACCATTTTATTAGAAATAAGCAAGATATAGGATGACGAAGAAACGTCAAACGAAAGAACTCTTCCAAGACATTTATTGCTTGACTTAGCCTCTGTTTCAGCGCCCTCTATGCTACAAGCATTTTGTGAACGGATCAGTTCTTGTAGATCACGTTTATTCCTAAAGGTGAAGTTAACTATCTGACATCTAGAGAGATTTTAGGTAAGACTATTTAATTTATGCCACTGGTTGCTATCTGACAAAAAGCTATTAAGTTTGAAACAGTCAAACTGGGACGTAACTGACAGCGAGATAGTCAGATCATGAGAATATTTAACAAAGTCGATTTCTTTTGAAAGAGGTAAGTCATGTAAGAAAAAGGAAAAAAGAAAACGAGACAGAACAATACCCTGAGGGACTCCAACTTCAACAAGTAAGACAGGGGAAGATTCGTCTTAATATACAGTATACTGCATTTTGTTGGCGACATAAGAATGCAGCTAGTTAACAGCCAAGGACTGGAGTTGTGTCAGGGAAAGCCTATTTAACGAAATGCATCTGGGTACAGAGTCATAAGCAGTTGTGTAGTCAAGGAAGGTACGTCGGACACTGGAAGAAATATCGCAAAAGGAACCATCCCTAGCCAAATCACAGTACCAAATAAGACACTGTTTATGAGTTCCGCGTTCAAAGGTGACACTATTGCTGAAGTGATTAAAAGTCATTTTAAATAATTTGTAATGATTTATTCTGACTCGGCGCTCAAATTATTCCAGGAAACTCAAAGCATCTACGGTCTGGAAATTTATAATCTTGTGATCAAAAGTCGTTTATCTAAATTTATTAAAAGCTCTTTTTATGCAGCTGAGATACATTTAGTATTCACCAACCGAAATATAATTCGACAATGCGTCAATGATAAACCTACGTATCTGTCCACCTCTTTGTGCATATAACCTTTCACATGCTCGCGAGGAACTGATTACATTTGATTTTTTAGGCGTATTCTCTGGAGACGCGTAGCTGAACATTAGCCAGTTTGGTCAATAAAAGATAAGCACGTGATGTTGAAGTTTTCAATCTAGAAACACCTTCTAAATTCAGGTCATTCAGGACCAGATCCAACCACTCCAAAAGCTTGCGTTTCTCCCATGTATGCATAGCCATATCTCTAGCTGTACATGGACAGGAACTTAAATGATATGTTCAAAAACGTTTTGCTTTACCCCTTTCTTCAACTTAGTAATGTTTTATTCTGCTTTACCACTTGAATTAATTTCGCTTCACTTCATCTTCACCTTCTCTGTTGTTGGTATCATCGAACTTATAAGTTTTGACAACGCTTGTCCTACTTTTAAAATTTTAATACCAGTCCATTTGTTTAGTGATTCATTTGCTTCATCTCTACTTCTTTAAAATTATCCTTATTCTTATCATCATGTGTGTATTGACTGGGCAATTTTTAGTACCATTTGATGTCTTTTAAAGTAATATAAATACGAGCGTACGACTTGAAAATGAAGTCCTTGAAAAGGAATACTTCTTCGCTGAGCAGAACAGTTTTACTGGCATATGGATTAGGCTATATGATAACAATATGTGTTTGTATATGTGTTGCATTTTTAACATTGAGTGAAATTATTGAATTGAAATGATGTTTGTTGAGGTGATATACGAACTATAGGTCAGTTACAGAGTTTTCCTTAATCTTTCAACAAAATCAATACCATATTTGATTCAGATGAGTTTTGATTTCGAGACATTGTATTGTTAGTTGTATTCGAATTATTTGCGGATTAGCTCTGTATTTTTCCATTTATTTCTCGTAACAGTTCTCCAGATTACATCACCAGTGGCTATTCTATCGGGCGTTAGTGTACATTGTCTAGATTAATAGATACGATTATTGAGAGTAGTGGTAGCATCAACTCTGGTCATATTGAGGGCTACTAAACTGACTTGGTGGTTGGGTTTGACACTTTTGTTGAGGCAATCTTAAATATCTGTTAGCTGACCTGCTATCGTGTAAAGAAGATCGCAGTTTAATTAGTTGGCTGCCTAATACCACTCAAGGGAATTCACAATTCATGAGAGTTGTTTGTACTCATCAACCACTGGTTCTTGTGAGGTACTTTTATCTAAAACTTGAGAATTGCCAACTCAAAACAGACAGCTGTCTGAAATCAGCTTATTTATTAGTATGTATCATAGGTGTTAAGTCTCTGTATTTTCATCTGTTATGCTGAGTGTATTTATCGAGATTACACTGGGGACTTTGTAGAAATCATGGCTGTTTTCAGCTGTTGTTCATTTGAACTAATTTGTGCAAAAATCACATTTTGGCTTGGTAAAACTGCTGAAAAATAGCGAAGGCTATCAGTTTTTCTTATTTTATCTACTGCGTTTGACAGTAGACGCTGAATTCCATTATGGGGGAAATTTATTTTGATAAAGTTTCACAGTAATATTTACTAATCAGTAAATGGAATTATACTCTACTACGGTGCCCAAGTGCTATTCTTATAGCAAAGGCCGAAGTTGTTAAATATTCTAACCAATTCACCCGTATTTCAGTCGATCCTGTAGGTTAAATAAGAAAATGTTTAAGTCTTTATGCAATGCTGATGTCACAGCCAAATGCCTCATACAGAGTAAAAATTTCATAACTTTGTGATGAATACGCTTTCTAAACGAAGGTGAAGAACTTTAAGCAGCATCAAGTGTTTGATTCCAGTTAATTGAATGGTGTATTGAAAATTCAGAAGTTGAATGCAAAAACAATTCGTCAACAATTAATTAGATTGTGCAGCTGGTTTGATCCAGATAGTTGCTGCTCCCTTTTTGCACTACGATTTATTGTCTGTACTAATTCACTACATTGGTGGTTATATGGTAGGGAAATTGATAAAATAGAGACATACATTTCTGAATGTTTGCCTGTAGTCGTAAGTGTTGTGTAATTAACGGAAGATCGATTTCTGTAGAAATGGGTATGTTGTGGAATAGAAAAGTCATAGAGATACAAACTGGTCAATAATGTATTTGGTTGTGTTAAAATCACGAATTGGTAGAGGTTAGAATTCATGAGCCATTGAATCGGGTCCCAGTGGCTGAATGGTATACGAGCTAGCTTGCCTTCTAACCGGAAGGTCCTGTGTTCGAATCCTAGTGGGTTCGTACTACCGATGACCTCCAAATTAGCATGAAACAGCAGCTGTCGAGTACTCCCTGGTTTTCAATGGTTCTCTAACAGATACACACAATCTGTGGGCAAACTCGATAAGCAAATCAACTCTTGAAAACGTATTTTCAGTTCACTTCTAAAACACGTGTTGCCTGATAACCATCTTCATGTTTATTGATATCATCATTTCCATGTCTTTGTTCTCCTCTTGTAATGTTTATCCTAATCATACCACGAACATAAATATTACTCAGTGGTTGCACTAATATTAATCATTTTTTTAATTGTTATCATTGATCACTTACAGGTTGATATATATGGTAAATGTGGTTCAAAGGAGTGTCCTAGACAATCTGAAGAGTCATGCTTCAAATTACTTCGTGAAAAGTATAAATTCTATTTGAGTTTTGAAAACAGTTTATGTAAATATTATGTAACAGAAAAATTCTACAGAAATGCGCTACAGTGAGTGAGTTTTTAAACTAAATTATTCATTAATTATTACTGAAAACTTTTGCTAACTGCTTATAGTTCACCAGTAATTGTTTAGTTGCCTTTTTTTTAAAAAAGATGCGAAATCTCACAAATCTTAAAGATAAAGCATTGTTTAATTCTTAGTGTAAGTGTAGAATTGGGGCAATGTAGTAAAATGTATTGCACTAAGCTTATGCAATATGACTAACCCACAAAGTGATGACACAGTATTATTATTATTCCCTTGGGTTCCTATTGGAACATAGGGCTTCAACTACACGTCTCCACTTGCTTCTGTCTTCTGCTGCTGTACTTTTCACCTACATCCATGTTAGTTCATACTGTTTCAACTCCTCTTCACACGATCTCCTCCATGTCACCCTTGCACTGACATCCCACTTGCCGCTTCCCTTTCGGGTTCCACTCGAACAATTTTTTTTTTATTTTTTTTTTATTTTTGACAATGGCCTGACGCGCGCGCGATGTCACCCAACGGCCTCCTCAGTGAGTGTCAATCAATCTCCACTCTCTCCCGCTTATTTGTTGGGCGATTGGTTCTTCTTTTGTTTGTTCCCATAGTTTCTTGTTGGCGATTCTGTCCGGCCCAGCCATCTGATCTTCAGTATAGAGCGAAGACAGTTGTTAATAAAGGTCTGCAACAGGCTGTTGGAAATATTCTTTGTGACCCGCCCGCGAAGTTTCTGATCCGTATAGAAGAACTGACTGACTTGACGTTTGTATTGAAAATCCGAATTTTGTTGTTGATGCTGAGTGATGACACAGTTTTGATAACTGAATAACATTTCAACCACAGTGTACTGCTACTCATAACCATATCAATGTACTCATACTGTTTCATAACTTGGTTTATCTACTTTCATCTCCTCTCTGGGTTTTTTATTGCAACTTTCAATACATTTTGGATAGGTGGTTGTACCATTTCGATTGCAACTGTTTGTTGTTGATTCTACGAACAAGGACTGTTTAATAATTCTTGACATAGTATGCATACATTGATATGCTTATGAGTGGCAATAAACTATGCTTGAAACGTCCTCCAGTTATCAATGCTGCATAAATGTGTCACTACAAAATAAACTTATGCAATATGGAACTGTTTCATCCTTCTAACTTTTAAAAAACACGCTTCAGTGAATTGCTATGAGGAAGTGTACGTGTGGAAGCCTACCTTTGCTCTGGATGCAGTATATATATATATATATATTTGCCTGTCTTATACTTTCTGTTGATGCAATAGCAGCCACCAGGATAATCACATCTGAACATTTGTCATTTTTCTGTAGAACTGGCAGTTTTCACTAGAATTCACACTACACATCATCAAACAAAGGTGACAAAGTGACGTCGTCTAATGTTACAATACTTTTTAGATCTAAAAGCTCCATTTAGTTCAAGCGTACATATGAGATTGTAAACTGGAGTCTACGAAAGCAGTGTCGTTTTTAACCTACAACTTAATCCTATACATTTACCCATAAAGCCTGGAAACAGCCAATGGATCCTGGATGACTTTAATTGTGAGTGGATTAATCGAATGATCACACATGCATTCCTTATACGTGTTACATAAACAGACAACACACGCTCAAAAAATGACTGCTAGCACGCCTGTTATTATAGGTATTAGGATTTGTGTTTTGTCCGTTTGAAGAACCGTATTTCTTCTACGACAACAGAACTAATTAAGATATACAGAGTAGGAGTACCGCATAGCTGACTTGCTGAACTGTGCATAGAAGATACCTTATTGCCATCTGATTTCTTTAGCTTCTGCAGGAAATCTCTACCAACTCATAACTAACTTACACCATGACGATTAATACTAGTAATTTTACCTCCACCCAAAATATATTCACTATGTTTCAAAGCTTGCAAGTACAGTCGTTCTACCTGTCTTATCTGGATAACTACGTCAGTATAACAGCTTTTCATCAAGTTGAAAAGTACCATGTGTTTTTGTAAACAGCAGTTAGAGCTGCAAACGCTAGAATGACATACTGTTTGTGCCTAAATTTCCTTACCTGTTCCAATTTATTAATCAGCTTCATTCCAAGCTACTCGTTTTCATCAAAAGATTCTAATCGAACATCTGTAATTTCTTCACACTTGTTTCAGTAATCATACCTAACACTCCGTATTCAGACTGTATAAACATACCGCTAAAATAACTTAAAGGAGTGAAAAAGTTAGCACATCCAAGCGAGTATTCCACTTACCAAAAATAAAAGCAGACGTGGACTAATCGTGGAACAATAAAATTATCAGTAGCATGTGTAAATCTTATGGTGAATATCTTCAATTTTCTGCCTGAGATTCTTAGGGGATTCTGTATCTTTCCAGAGTTACTGTCTAACGAAGAAGATAACTTCTGTATATAAAGCGTAGACTCCTTGGTAGATCAAACACTGTGTCTGGAACAAGTTCGAAATATGTTTAAACGGAGTACTGTTGGATGGCATTTCTTTGCTGTCATTCTAGTGGATAGCGTTACTTGGTTTAGATTTATTTATCAAGGGAATCAAGTATATGGAGTTTTCGAAAACCACCTGTCTACTTAGTCTGTTATTCAGCATGTGAATCTTGACACAGAGTCCTTATCAGTATAGTTTGGTTACGCGACACTCGATTCACATTTACACATTAGTGTTAGGATCTCTGGTTGTTGTAATTCACAAGAGACACTTAATCAAAACATGATAAGTTTCTCACTTTGGTAAAAGCATCTTTTGCTTCAAAAAATAAAGGACATGTGAAAACTGTCTCATTTTCCAACAGTTGTAAAGACAAATTTGTTGGAAGTACTACTCCGACTTTCATTAAATTTTGTCATTCAGTACGAAATAAGCTAACTTTCGCTATATTTCATAACCATTGGAAACTAAATATAACTGAATGTTATCATTTCATTTGAACAGAGATAGTAACCTTGCCTTTCCGAAATATTTTAGAGTTTCCCATGCAGTTTTATAAGCTATGGTCCTTCAGATAGGTGTTCAATCGCCTTCTTTTCATAATCAGTTCTGTTCATTATCGCAGTGACGTTTCCCTTGTCGGCTTTCGTTATATCGATGCTTTTGTCTTTCTTCAAATTTCATAAGCCTTCATATTCTTGTTTGGTGAGATTAGATGGTATTTTTCGTTGTGCCATTAATGTGTGTGATATCTTTTGACGAGCAGATTGTGATTATTCATTGGTGAATTGTTGTAGAGCAGGTTCAGTCATAGATGCTATTTCCTGGACTGATGATGGCTTTCTAGTGAGATTGAAATTTAGACCTTTCTGTAGTAATGAGGTTTCACTTTCGGTTAGTATCTTGTCTGACATATTGTGTATGGCTCTAATATTCCTTATATCATTTGTTGAGGTTTTCTTTGGTTGTTTCTTTTCTTCAAGTTTCAAAATTTTTGTATTTGTCTTCTCTTAATGAGATTATGAAAATGAGATTCTCGTTCATTAAACAATTTTGAAAGGATTCATAGATATGGCTTGTAGCAATTAATTAATGTTAAACAGTCGTCTATATTTTTTTATTCTTGTTCGATAAGGTCCAAGTTGGATGTTTCAGTTATGTGTTCTTCCTCGTAAAAATACTTTGGAGGTATGATTTGCAGCAAGTATGGATTTATTTGGATATTCAAGAGGTTTAATTCGTAGTGACTTAGGAATAATTCCACTTTGTACACGCGTACGTTGAAAATACAATGATTATAGAAGTTACATTTATGCTTCGATAGAGTAATCCGGCTTTTAATTAAGTTATATATGTCCAAAACAAGTTCACTTTTAACGGTTTGAAAAAAATTGGGCATTGGGTATATGATATTCCAAATGAATGCAAAATAAAACGATATTGCTGTTTTTACTGACGTTTCGCTATTTAATGCTAATAGCTTTCTCAAAGTATTATTAAACCGATATTTACAAAATCTCAGTATATATATAACAAAGAGTTAAGGGGTGAGAAAATATATATCAAGTGGAATCCGAATTGTCTGAATAGGAGTGATGGACTAAAACAGAATTTGACCTGGTTACAACACCTCCCTTCCCCATGAAGTGACAAAATCAATACTAATGTGATAAGCAAGTCCACTATGTAAACACACACTACTTTTATAATTTTACACACTGATTAAATCCAACAATCCACACTTGATTTTGTTATCTTTACCAATTGACCAACTTGACAACGAAAAATGACCCCAGACAGACGAACGATGATCAAGTTAGTAAACTTTGTTTTGATATCATAACAGATGTACTATTTGAATAAGGCATTAAGAAGACAAATTTCGCGAGATGATATCGTCATTTCGTAGTTTCTTTACAACCGCTTTACAACTAACATGGTTAACAATGATAAAATAGAGTTCATGAAAATTACTCAGTTAAATAAAAACAAAAGTGCATACTAATGACCAATCATATTAAGATAGGTCATGCAGTCCAGGGTAGGCGAAGATTGAAGTCTATTGATTTTTGTACACACAGTTTAGGCTGTATGTGATTAATGCAAAGTGCTTCCGTCACCTTCAATAACCTTGAATTAGAGTTTTGTGAAATAATTGATTGTGAAGCAGTCATTAATATTGATTTTGTGATGTACTATTACCTTTGTTATTTGGTTTAGTAATCTTCATTGTTATCTTGACTTTCAATATGTCCTTTTAAGTTGAAATAAGTCTATTTCTCACCCCTTAACTCTTTGTTATATATATACTGAGATTTTGTAAATTTCGGTTTAATAATACTTTGAGAAAGCTATTAGCATTAAATAGCGAAACGTCAGTAAAAACAGCAATATCGTTTTGCTTTGCATTCATTTGGAATATCATATACCCAATGCCCATTTTTTTCAAACCGTTAAAAGTGAACTTGGTTTGGACATACATATATATATATATACATATATATATATATATATATATATATATATATATGGGTGTGTGGAGTATAGCTAATTGTATTCTTACATGCTGTTGTTGATATTCACAACAAATTTTATTTATATAATTTGTAATCTTATTTATCACAGAAATGATATTGTTCCTATTGTGATGGGAGCTTCTCTTGAAGAATATCAAGAACTAGCACCTCCACATTCCTTCATTCACGTGGATCAATTTGAATCACCGAATGAACTTGCAGAATACTTAAAGTATCTAGATAGGAACGATACTGCATACAATGAATATTTTGCTTGGCGTGGACATGGCGAAGTGTTAAATTGGCATGGAGAACCTCATTGTGAAATGTGCCTGTTAGCCCATACAATTCAACATGTAAAGCCACACTGGGTTTCAGATGTATCCGTTTGGTGGAATGATGCGTGTAAAAATCGAAATCTTCGTTGGAAACCGTCTATTCTGTGAGAGAGAAAATAGTGGTGACAATAGGATCATGCCTTTGATATCATTCTATTATACCTGTCTTACATGCTTTCCCAACTTTATGTTGATACTTTCTAATTAATTTTCGTTTCAAAACTAACGATTAGTGATATTTTGATTAACAGAGAGCTTGATTGTTGCTTTGTGAACAAGTTAATAAATTTGTTACTTTTTTTCTTTTTTGTATCGATCGCCTACTACATGCTTTTATTTTTTCAAGCATGTTTCAAATTATGTGGAAAATTACGGAAAACTGTGAATACTTTAGCTGTTTTATCATTTTTAATTCTTTTTTTGCATTGATTTTGTATGCCTTTTTAACTAGGAATGTTGTACACGTCTTTCCATGGTAATTTGTTTTATATCTTTTATACATACATATACGTATAATGTATATTGGAACTAATTGTTTTTAATCATTTGTTCATTATTAATATTTTTCAGACCTTGCATATTATGATTGTGTCTGAAGGTGACATGGAAAAGAACGTGCGGGGAGGAAGTGAAAGCTACTTATAGGCAGGCATTCGTACAGTCAGCAGAGAGCAGAGTGAAGTGGTGATGTGCTGCTGAAGCTCTGTGTCCCACTAAGATCCTGAAGGATGGAGGGAGGTAGGCAATTATAAAACTTCGCAACCACGGGACGTCTTTTGGTAGGGTGTGCACTGATCGCCGTAGTACATATATACATACATATAACAGTCTGTTAAAATACATGTCCAAGGAAACAGAGTTTGTGCATCTATCAGAAGAAACTTCTCATCTATAATAACCGATCCGACTGCTTATATATATTATTACATTGCTTCGGTGGCATAGCGGTTAGGGCGCTAGCCGATCATGCACATGGTCCGGGTTTTCAATCCCCGGCCGACTCACTCCTTTACCTCGCTAAGCCAGAAATAAAAAGCTAGTGAAGAAGAAAGGTTGGGCATGAGGCTAGCAACCCCATCCTGTAAAATAAACACTGCTACAGAAACTTCAAGCCACTAGCTTGAAGCCCTATGTTCCACTGGGGAACGTGAAGGAGAAAAAAACTGATTATACCGGGCAGTTATTACGCTTTTTAAATATCGAGTTGGGGAAACAGGCTATTTCCAGTTACTGCTTTTCCTGAGAAACTGAAGTGCAATGTTGAATGGAGGATAAATTGGTTTCTGCACCCTCATCATGTCTTTCCTTTACATGAGTGTTGAGCACAGCTTTATATTCATCATTTTCACATGTAACTTACATTGTATCTGAAATATTTCTTTGTTTATCCCTGTTCTAGTATGTAGAATATCATCCATACACCGGTGTATTCTGAGAATGGTTCGGCATACACCTAGAGCCACGTGATATAAACTGCTGTTGAATATATCTGCCGGTATTTCATATCTGCATCTTACATTATGATAATTGGATAATATGATTGTATAACGGAAGAATACAGGCAATTTCGTAAAGGAATGTTTATTTGGAGTTTGGTATCTCTAAATTGCGACGGTACGCACACCTAATGTGAAAATCATCATTTGCAAGGTTCTTCTATGTTGTGTTACTTCTGCCCCTCCTTCGTATTGTTCATTTGGCTTCTTTTCGTGTCTCCCATGTATTGCGGCAACGCCGGCTCGTTTTCTCTCTTTGACGTTAAATCCATTTCTCCGCTACCTTATACTTTTATGCCGATGAAAGTCTCTTTATATACTACTGAAAAATCTTACCAGTAACACAAGCAACAAATGTATTCACTAAATTTAAAGCATTTTCTTAAACAGTGTTCAATAATACATAAATATCCTGATTGCTGGTATATCATAGCTGCGGGTAGAAGACATGTTATTAGCGCATTAAATGTATTAAATACTAGTTCACTCAAAAGACAATGGATTTTGAGTGACTTAGTAACCTTTCTAATACAGTCAGGCATATTCGACACCGGTATTGGATACAATCAACAAGATGAGAGAAGTTTGCATATTATGTAAAAAGTTTCACAACATTTGACTGTAGTAGTTGTTTAGGTGTGTGTTGAAATCAAGATGTTAGCAGTACTGAAGAAACCAGGTATTTGTACTTGAATTTAAGGTACAAAAATATAAGGAAAAATTAAAAAGACACTTGGTCATAAGGAATGAAGCGTTGAGTAAAGATATATAAGAAATTTGATTTAAGATACACGAATCTGATTTCTAATCGCGTACTTTCAAAATCTCAGAAAACCAAAGCAGACCCTTTCCAACATATTTGAAATGAAGACCACAGCTGAAGAATTTACTATGCTTAAGCTAAATTATCAAAACAGGGAGGTTAGGCTGCCCAAATCAATGCTAGTTTTTGTTACATATTGACTCTAGACAGTCTTCCTGAATTCTGTCTGTGACAAGGAACCAAACAAAGTGATACGTCCTAAAAGAAGTTACTGATCGCTTCTTATTAGAGATACTGTTAGTGTTAAAAGTGAACTGGGTTTGGACATTTTTGTTTCTGTCAATTGAGTGTCATTAATATAGTGCAGTGCCCACACAAATAATCGGATAGCAAAAAAATTTCTCTAAAAATTACGTCTTGGTTCCGAGTGGAACTTAAGGTTTCAACAACACATCTCCACTTTGTTCTGTGTCCTGCTATCCTCTTCATCTGGGTCCACGATTGCCTATGGCCTTTCATCTCCTCCTCCACCACACGATGTCCTCCATGTCACCCTCATATCGGCGATCCACTCGTCGCATCCTATTGGGATCCCACTCAAGCTATGGCCTGCATTGCGCGATATGTCATTCTACAGCCTCCTTAACGTATGCCCGATCCGTCTCTATTATCTTCTACATATTTGTAGAGCAATCGGCTCTCGGTTGATTTGTTCCCAACCAGAGTTTCTTGTTGCTAATTCTTTCTGCCTGGCCGACCATTTGACCTTCTGTATGGAACCAGCGAAGTGTGTAGTTGTTGATAAGAGTCTGTGGCTTGTTGGAATTGCTCATTCGTGATGTTCCAAGTTTTTGACCTATATAGAAGAAGTGACTGACTTCACATTGGTGTTGAATAGAATCCGAATCTTGTTGTTTATGCTGTGGCGAAGTGTGGAAGATTTCCAAACTGGTTTCAGCTTGATGAAGAAGGTGTATCTTGCCTTTCAGATTCTGTCTGACTGGTTTTGACATCTTCATCTGTTCGGCGTGACTGTAGTTGAAACGATGTTGGCTGCCTGAATAAGTGAAGGAAGTAGCCTCTTTCAGATTTCTCCCGTTGGTTGATAGTGGGTAATTGGTGCTGGTTATTGTTGTTGCTATTGGTTGGTCTTTAGTATTAAGTGAATTTTAATTTTATAGGTTTTTAACTATTCACATTATCATACTGTCTTCACTGCTGTTATCATCATCTATGTTAACTGATATCGTGGACCTTACTTATTACCATTATTGTTTCAATTATTATAATCTTCGCTACTACCTACATATTTTTACAACATTTAACACTAATAGTTTCTGACCCACTAACTCGTGTCGGATTTCAGAACATCGCCCTGCATGGTTAAGTAAAAGAGAAACATAATTCATTCATAGCGCTATTCTATTTCATCTTGTGGATACAAAACACAAGATTGATGTTAGCAAAGCTTTCAAATTCATTTACCGCACACCATCTAATCCTAACTTTACCTTAAGAGTTCGTCGACTACATATTGCTGAGGCTGTTGGGATTCACATTAGGAAGCCTAATTCATGCGTCCAAAAAAGAAGCTAGTTCAGACATTGTCCTTACCTTAGCCACATAGATTCGAATGATCCTCAACTTTTTGGAGAAATTTCCTTAATTTTATTTGATATTCTATTTACAGTTACATTTTCATGCTTATTATAATTTATGCATCTTTCACGAACTGTAATTCCACTTAACAAATCGATATTATTTAAAAAACAATGATATTGTTAATGAAGACTATTCTAGAATGTTCTATGTTTGTAAACATACAGACAATTGTAGAGCCAGAAGAGGAAATTATCGGAAAGGATACTCAGGTGTTGGTTTGTAGGGATTTGATTGGTTACAGGATTTCATCATGAGCTGACATTAGTTAGAGACGCATTGGAAAACCTGGGAGAACTGGACAGCTGTTTCGTCCTAGTTTGGGAATTCATAGGGGATTGGATCGGGTTCCAGTGGCTTAATGGTATACGAGCTCGCCTTGTAACCAAAAGGTCCTGGGTTCGTACTGCTGTAGAGTCGCAAACTAGGATGAAACAGCTATCCAATACTCCCAGGCTTTCCAATGGTTCTCTAACTAATTTCAGCTCATGATGAAATTCTGAAAAGGGGTAACCTCTGTTAAATCTTTCCCATTGATGGTGATTGGTGCTGGTTATTGTTGTTGCGGTTAGTTGGTTATCTTCATCACCTCCATCTTCTCTCTATGTTCACCTGCAGCCCTTGTCTTCGCTCTCTGGTAATTACCGGTGTTAATGTCGTTTTTTCTCTTTACGAATGATTTTCTGAGTTTAATAAATGTGTTTATTTATCTATCTTTGCGCTTCATTTCAACTGGATTGGGCTAAGTTGTTGCTTCCTTAAGGAAAAAGTGTAGCTTATTGGCGCTATGAGTAAGCTATTTTATCAATTGAATCACTAATCTTCGTTTTATCTGTTTTACTTTCGGATATGTATCTTCTACTGAGTTATTGGTATCAGTGGTGTACCGAATGTCTATTGAACATCTTACACAGTCTACATTTTACGATTTTAAGTGATGTGTCTTGTTAAGCTTTGTTGTTTGTTTGTTTGCCAACATTACAGGTGTCCAAATGAATCTACTTTTATTTCAGATTCCATTCAGTATTATATATCTCTTGTACAGAAAATGATTAACTGTGAACCTATTAATTTTAACGTTTTGTCACATTTAACCACTGGTGACGACCAGTGGTGTCCGTCAAGGATGCCCATTATCTCCTTTTCTATTCAACTTCATCATAGATGTGTTAATGGACTTAACCCTAGGTGACTTCAGCGACTCAGGGATTGACTTGCTACCACCAGGGAATAATCTCGTTGACTTAGAATATGCAGACGATATAGTCCTTCTAGGCGAAGACGCTGACAAAATGCAGTCTTCTAAACACCTTGAGCCGCAATCTACGAATGTTTGGCATGCGATTCGCTCCCACCAAATGCAAGATGATGTTACAGGACTGGACTACATCGACGCCTAGTTTAAAAATAGGAAGTGAAGTGGTTGGTGGAGCACGTTGACCGCTTCACGTACTTGGGAAGTACCATCAGCCAGTGCCAACGGGTTGATCTCTGATGAAATCTCAGCACGAATACAGGGGGCTCGTTTCGCATATGCCAGTTTACGCCGACTCTGGCGTAGACGAGATG